TATATCATTTCTCTTGTAGTGATATATATATATATAAATGATAAATGTAAAAAAAGTATAGTAATTTATAACTAATTATTATTTTAAATGAATTGAGCTTGATTCTTTTTTTTTGTCCATGAATTAATTAATTAGTTGAAATTTTAAGTCTAAAAATGTAATAAATTAAGTAGATTTTCTTATAATAAATTGATAGCCGAAAATATTTTTAAAATACTAAACCTCCTCAAAAAAATTAATTCTATAATTGTGAATAATGGAAATGAAAATATAAAGTTAAAGAGTTACTAAGTATAAAAGATCTCATGAATACATCTATATTTAGCCACATTATATTAATTATAATTTCATGTTTGTCAGAAAATGTTAAAACACCTTTCTTTTCATATATTTTCAATGATCTACCTAAGTGGTCAACTTAAATTTGGTTGAAAAGTTGTGAATTATTGTTGGGTTTAATTTTGATAGATAAAAAAAAAAAAAAAATTCAATGTTATACCGATAGAACATTTATAATTTATGATTCTTAATTATCATATACATGCATGTTGATCTTTCTAAATATTAGTTAGGTGCTTTAAAGTTTATGGGACTCTCAGTGCCTAGAATTTTATAAAAGCAATGAACTTATTACAAAATTAGGCAGCTTAAAATTAGAACACGCAAAAAGGGAAGTAGTACTAAAGTTATAAGTAAATATTACTCCTCTGTCTTTGCCTTTAATTTTAAGCCACTGCCGATGCAAGAGGGAATATATATGTCAAGAGTTCACTAAATTAAGGCAATAAGGTCAATCAAATAGTTAATTCAAATTAATCCAAAATGCAGAAAACTGGTTACCAAACGGAAGCAAAAGAGTTACAGAGAAAACTACATTCAGCTTAATACCATGTTTGGTAAATATTTCAGGAAATGTTTATAGCTCTTTTTTTAATTATTGATTCCTTCCAAATTATATAAGCCCATTCTGAATTTCCCACCTCATCAAGGTTATGTTTTAGCACTGTATTAAATTTATAGGTTTTATAACATAAATTAAACTTCTTTTTTTTCTGTTTTTTATGAGTACGTGTTGTTCTTCGAGAATTCAAGATAAGCATGCATATGCATGCCACTCCACCAGTCACAACTGGCATGGTAAATATAAGAAATGAAGAACAATTGGGCGCACGAAAGCCGAAATTGTTGAACATTAAAGCACTGGTCAAAATGTCAAATGCATTAAATTAAAAAGTTCAATTTTCTTGGGCGTATATGTGAATGTATAGTATAGGTGGTTGGAAATACATGAAATAGGGTTCATTAATCAAGAATAACTTGGCCAATATCCTTCTATATAAATGGCCAGCCAGATAAAGCATTAGGTCACATTCTGCATAATATCCATTAAAGTTTTATTGTGCATTTCACGATATCCAATGGACTGCAAAGGTACTCATGGCGCAACTGGTGGTGATAATAATGTGACCAAAGCGAAAGAGGTTAATGATGGTAGCAATTCAGCTGTGATGAAAGCTCCTGGTGGAGATGGATCCAACATTTCAAGGGAAGAATTCGAGAAAAACCCTCAGGGCTACTTTGCTGCTTTGCATGATGAACAAAAGACCAAGAAGTAAAGCAATGCATATTTTCCTACCAATATTATTTAGACTGGCCATATGCTAAAACCTTATTATATATTTATGATGCCTCCAATAATTACTGCTATATAATAAAACAGTCTAAATTAATATTTATGCTGTTCTTTTTTATACGTACTGCTTTTAAATCGCAACTTTACATTCTGTTAATTATAGTGTTATGTACTTGGGCGGCGTTCAATTTGACGGGTAAAGGAGATTCATTTTCAATATCGTTTGGAAAGTGAATTTTCTGTTAACATCTATGGACTATGGGAAAGAAATGTTAACGTTGAACTTAGCTTATAATATTGGAGAAGATTTTTATATCAAAATTAACTCTACTATCAACTTGTTTTATACAAGTCGTAAATGTTTTTTTTTATTTAAATTTCTCTACTAAAAATAAGAAGTTATTTTCAATAGAAAAATTCTCAAAAAATATTTTCAAGTTTATACCCGAATATGTTTCTACAATATGACTAAATGAAGATAATGTTATTGTTGGCATCATGTATATTATATATAATGGATATTTCTGTTCTTTATTATTATGTTTAAGCAAAAAAATACATAATTTTTATTTTTAAATATAAGTAAATTTTAACTATTTCGCCCATAATAAAAAAAAAGTCAAAATTTTCAAATTATTAAAATAGAAAGAATATTGTGAAATTATTAAAATTTAAAGGAAGGACATACGTAACTGACTAAAAAAATTGAAAATTAACTATACAAACACGTAAATATACGCATTGATTTCTAACATCTACATTGTTATGTTCAGCGTATTTGAAGTGTTGTTTGCGTCGATGATTTTTAACCTTCGCAGTCTTTTTCCCTTAAATGTCTTCGAAAATCAAAGGAAATGAGATTTTATAAATTATCCTTAATTAACACGTACATATAATAATTTTAAAATTACTAACTGATCATAAATTATTATTATTATTATATATATATTAAAGGAAAGCATTATAATGAAATAATTTTGTTGTTAGTCATTGTAAAATAAGGAAATTTTAATTTAGTTCTTTAAAAATTTATTTGTTTTGTATTTCGTTAAAAAATTTGACAATTCCGCTTGTTAGGATAAGTTTCTTTTTGGGTGGGGGGACAGGACATGTCATCTGCGACACTTTCCTTACGTGGCTGCCTCGTGAATCAACACACAGCATCAAACCCCCATTATTATTGGACCAAAAACTTAAAAATTAAATAAGCCCAAGATGACTTTGTGATAGTAATTTCTTTTTAAAATATTTATTATTAAATAATTTTATTCAAATGTCAAATAAATGAAACTTAAATTATTAAGAGAGAACCACATAAAAAATAGTCACAACTACATTATACTTTTATACTTTATCTTATATATTAGATTTATTATAATTTTTTATATTTTAAAACATTCATTTTGATATTTTATTTTTTAAATTTGGGTTAATTTAGTTTTTTTTTTTTTAAATAGTGATTATTTTTAAGAGAAATTCTATAGTACCTATCTTATTTGAGAGGGTACCGGTACAGTTTTTTTATATTTTATATTTTTAATAATTTATTTAAATATTTATGATATTTTATTCTTTTAATTTTTAAATTATTTAGTCATTTTATTTTTATTTTATATATTCTAATTTATTTATAATA